CATTTTTAATACTGGACTAATGGTACTTGCGATAATCATTTTTCGAAAACATAGAAAACTAAAGATCAATTTTGATAAGTTTGTTCAGTACTCTGTAGTTATATAGAAAGACTGAAAGTACGCTCTTCGTTTCTGCGAACGGATCCCCATTCGGTGCATCCCCACTCAGGAATACAGATCAATCGCTATTATATGTCGCATAGTATAATGATAAGCTGAGACAGAACTCATCATTTTTATGATTATCCTATAATTTCTTTAACAGTTAGATATCCCACTTGCGATGTAACAAAGATATAATAAAAGTAGCAAGAAGAACTGTTTGCTTCACAAAAAATTAAATTTCTTTCTTTCTTCATTTTCTCATTGTTCTGACTGCTATTTCATGGATGAGAAAAAAATATCCACCATTTTCTACAAATTACGATAATTATTGAACATAGAACAGACTAACTCTAATTATACATTAGGTATTTTAAGCGAAGAAAACTGTGTTCAAGATCTAGTCTTTAAAAAAATGTAATACATGGGAAATAACAAAAGTCTTTAAATGAAACTATATAATTGTCTGATAATGAGTAATTTTCTTATAAAATTCAAGAAATATTATTGAGCAAGAACTCGTTTATGGAATAAATTTCAAAAATAAAAAGTTTGCAGTTGAAACTTACAGACATGTTGTTCTAGACATACGTAATATCATGTAGCGAATTATACATACAAACTATAAATGCAACTTTTTATTTAATAAAAATAAAAAGATTAAACGTAATTTATATTTTTAAAATTTTTAGAAAAGAATTATAATATGACGTAATAATACACACGATCTCTACTTAGGTAAACATGAATCGCTATTATATGTCGTGCAGTACAATGATAAGTTGAGACAGAACTCATCATTTTTATAAATGTCCTATAATTTTTTTAATAGTTAGAAATCATGTCAATTAAAAGACAAAGATAAAAATTTGCAATTAAAAATATTACAGACATGTTTTAACATACGCAATAATATGTAGCAAACTGTACGTGCCGTTTACAAACCATACAACTTTCTAACTTTCTAAAGAAGATTGAAATATCAAACATAATCTTAAACAATTTTAAAATATTTATATAAAACATACGATAAGTAATAATACATAAAATTTTTGTGTATTTATATTAAATGAAATTTTTATTTGTTAAGTTTATTTATTTAAAAATTTACTATTCTATAAATCTATATACAAAGTTTTAATGATTAGTTCTTAGCTTATAATAATTTAATTATTCATCAACAAAATGTTCTAATTTATTTGTTTCACATTACTAACTCTCTACGAAATCAGTAAATGAATATCGTGCTTTTGTTGAAAATCAATATATAGCATTTAAGACGGATAAATATGATGCTGATGCTTTTATAATCTAAAAATATAGAAAAAACTAAGAAATTAAGTTTGATTAACAAACTATTTATGTAAACAAACATATATAGTATAAGGAAAATTAACTATAATTAAATTGAAATTAATAATAGTGAAAAATAGTTCAAGTAATAGTTTAAAAGAGTTCAAGAATTACACTCGCAAAAGTTTCAATTGACATATCCATCATTTTTCCTGCCGTGATCCTCAATTGCTTTTGAGATCTCATTATTACAAACATTATTATTTTGCTCTGATTTGGCGGCATATCATACCATAATATTTCATATGTTGCACTTGCAATTAAGTTACCCTAAAAATAATATATCAATAAGTAATATCAAATACAATTTCATCATTAATTTGCATAATAGTCTTACATTGGAAATTTATATTTACAGTTAGTTGCTTCAGAATTTTTACCTTGAGGCTAAGATATTCTCCAGCAAAACAAATAATGAAGGCCTCAATCATTATTCCAATATAAGCAAAGATAGTTTTGATTAATATGAAAATACCAGTTTCGCTATGCATAAACTAATTTGATAAATAACAAAAAAATAAATAGTATTATATGCAATATTAGTAAGTAATACCGTTGCATTTCTTAATAACACTTACAATAATAAAAACAAATCCTATAGAAGAAATAACTAATGTATTCCAAACAACTTGCATCAAAGCAAAAAAAGAGAAAAACTTCTCCATATTTTCAGAAAATAAAATAACTTTGTTGTGCCTCTCAATTAACATTCCAAGTGAGAACATGGAAGATTTATAAAGAATATTCTCAGAAATATTTTTAAGCTCTTGGCATATTATGTCAATTTGTCCGCTTACATGAAGTACCTAAAATATAATTTTAAATGTTATATTTAAACACATAATTTTGCAAATTGCATATTACAATTATTGCATATATAGAGATTTTTGCTGCCGTGTGTTTTAAGTATAGAGATACAATAAAAATAATATTTCTATAAAATGTATCTATTTAGCAATTGGAAATATAAGATTTCTTTTATATTTGACATTAATTCTATCACTCAATTTTTTACACTTTAACATAATTTAATACACAACAAAATCTTGCAGATTGAAATAAAAATTTTGAATACTATAGTGCCTATTACAGTATTCCTTATTATAATTTGCCTTACAAATCGCAACATTATATATAATTAATTTAAAAAAAAATAAAAAAATATAGGCGTGAGACAGAAAATTACCAAAGTAAAGATCAATCCATTTAAAATAGCGACAATGCTTGCATGTAACATTACATGTGAAATAGTTGTTAAAGCAAGAAACTCAAAAATCGGTGATTGTTGGATATCAAAGGGAAGTTGTATTTTTACAGGAAGTTGCCGTAAAGTATCATTATATTCTTCATTTAGAAACATAAAACGAACTATGTAATCGCCTAAAAAGTAAAGTATCGTAGCAATCGCATTAAAGCTCAATAAAGCGTTAAAGCAAAAATGCGATATATTAGCTTTGACTGTCATTATATACAAATGCTGATCATTATTGATACATTCGTGCCAATCATCATCCATAGCAGTCAAAATTTGATGAAAGACTCTGGAACGCGTTACTTTAATCCGTCAAATGTTTCAGGTAAAAACTTCTTTCAAAAGACTTATGTTATATACATCAATGTTCGAGCTAAGATTTATATGATAATGTTATAATTATAATAATATAATTAATAATATAATTACAATTATATTATTATAGTTATAATAATATTATAATAATTATAATAATATATCGTCAGTTTCAGTTAACAAACATCAAATTAGCAATGTGTGTTAAGAAACTGACATCTTTTTTTTTTAAACCATGAACATAATTGCATTATACCATAATGTAATACATAATATCTTACCGACGATTTATCCACAGGCAAATTAATTTAAACATCGTCAAACTGTAGTCCATAGCTACAGTCAAACTATCAACGAGATTCAAGAGTTCGCTGACTTTTAAATGTTTAAATATATACAAATATTGAAAACATTGCATAATCAGTATACTCAACATAACACTCAACCAATAAACGGTAGAATGCGCTACATTCGGCCACATCCCGAGAAATTGGAGGCCAATTTTCAACGATGGGCTGACAGTACTCGTGAGTATCATTTGTCAATAGAAATGTGAAAAAACAGTGATCAGCTTCATAACATGTGTTCAGTCCTCTAGTTGAAAATGAACTCAGAGTTTATTGCCTCTTTTCCTAAGTCTCCCCACACGGTGCATCCCCACTCAAGTAAACATAGATCAATTGCAATTATATGAATGAGACAATACTCATTATTTGAATGAACGTCCTATAACTCCACTAACAATCTAATAAAGTTCCGATTATAAAATAACAAAGATATCGTACAGGTAAAAATAATGAGAAAACAGCATATTACGACAACTTTTTTTTAAGTTTATCTCTTTGGCAATATTATCCAGAGAAAACAAATGTTATTATGTTTCCTACAAATTGTAAAAATTTTTAAACGTTATGTAGGAAAATAGTAATTATTACATTAAATATTCTAAGCGAACGGGACTAACTACGGGATTCGTGCACAACCTCTAGTCTTCAAAAAAATATGATGAGCAGAAACAGTAGAAGTTTTTTGTGTAATGACGAGTAATTTTATTTAATAATTTTTTAGAAAATGCTGTTGCAAAACTTGTTGAATATATTTCAAAGATAAAGTTTATTTGAAAGATTCGAGATATTATAGATGATTTGTTTCAAATATTTGCGATGAAATGTAACTGTATAAATCATACACGCAAAAAAGGATCAATAGTTATAATCTTTGATGCATACTGCAACTATATAGTCTTTTATAAGTAAATATAGATAATGTGATAGAGTAATGCACAAGAAAAAAGAACTTTTGATATAAAATATTTTGATATAAAATATAAAATTAATTTGTGTCATTTATATATTCTAAGATTTAAACTATATTAATATAAAAAATAATCTAAAAGCTATTAACTTGTCAAGGAAAATTAAAAATTTTTCATTAATACTAGAAAATCAGTAAATAAATACCATGTTTTTGTTGGAAATCAATACATAGCATTTAAAATGGATATATATGATGCTGACGCCTTTACGATCTAAAAAAATAAAAATTCGGAAATTAATTTTAATTTCTACAAGGTTTTCCATAAAAAGTAAATAACTAATAAACAAAAACTAATTATATGCAAAACAAAATTGTTTTATAATAATTAAAAATGTAAAAAAAGATTACACTCGCGAAAGCATCGAATGACATATCCATCATTTTTCCTGCCGTAATTGTTAATGATTTCTGAGATCTCATTATTATAAATATTATAATTTTACTTTGATTTGATGACATATTATACCACACTATTTCATATATTGCAGTGGCAATAGATTTACTCTAAAAAATTATCAAATAATGTTAAATAACTGTTCTTTTTATATTTATTTTTATTGTTTAATTTATTTGATTTGAAATAAAATTCTTTGTTTATTAATAATAAATTTTTATATGTAATAATTTTTTAAATAATATATTAATTATTGTAAGTTATTAAAAAGTTTTATTAATAAAGAATGTCATATACTTCTAATATTATATTAATATTTTTATATATTATATTAAATAATGCATTTATGGTTAATTTCAGAATATTTACCTTCATGCTAAGATATTCTCCAGCAAAACAAATAACAAAAGCTTCCATCATTATGGCGCAGTAACCAAAAATGGTTTTTACTAATACGAAAACATCGATTTCATTATGAATAGACTAATTTAATGAACAGCAAAAGATGAATAAGATGCAGAGGTATAATACAGAGAATAAATAAGATACAGAGCATTTATCATCTCGCATTTTATGATATATTATAATACTTACAATTATGATGACCAATCCAAGACTGCATATAACTAAAGTATTCCAAATAACTTGCATCAATGCGATAAAAGAGAACAACTTCTCGATGTTTTGAGAAAATGAAATGACTCTGTTGTGCCTCTCGATCAACATTCCAAATGAAAACTTGGAAGATCCATAAAGAATGTTCTTAGAAATATTTTTCATCTCTTGACATATTATATCTATTTGTCCGCTTACATGAAGCACCTGAAATACACTTCAATTTTAGAAAAAGATTACAATTATTTTATGTAAAAATTTTTTCTAAAAAAGTTTTAGATGCAATTAGCCTAATATTTTTTATATACATATGACATACTTAATTATTCCATTTAAGTTTACTAATACTGACATTAGTTTTCATACTAAAAAAGTTTAGTAATGCTGACATTAGTTTTCATACTAAAAAAAATTTCTATATAACAAAATTATGTAAAGTAAAAATTTTATCACTGTTTAATCATTATGATCTTGCCTCAATGTTCAGTATTACATAAGATTTAATCCAAGATAAAAATATAGATATAAAATATAAGATATAAAACACATTTAAAATATAATACCACAGTAAAAATCAATCCATTTAAAACAGAGATCGCACATGAATGTATCATCACATGTAAAATCGTTGTTATAGCAACAAGTTCAAAAATTGGTGATTGAGTGTCAAAGGGAAGTTGTATTTTTACAGGAAATTGTCGTAAAGTGTCATTATATTCTTCAGTTAGAAACATAAAACGAAATGCATAGCTGCCTAAGAAGTAAAATATCGTAACAATCGCATTCAAACTCAATATAAAGTTACAAATAAAATGCGATATATTAGCTTTGATTGTCATTATATACAAGTGCTGCTCAGTATTGATGCATTCGCGCCAATCGTTATCCATAGCGGCCAGCATTTGATGAAGAACTCTGCAATAAATTATTTCAGTCTGTCAAATGTCTCTAATAAAAATTTCATACTTCCTTTGATCAGATCACTCATGCATAGTTTATCCAAAATAAACTTTAAATAACAATTTAAACAATTTCCGATTAGCAAAGATTAAATCAATAATGTTTGTTGTTTAAAAAATTGTGAAACAGTTTTATTTTTAAGTACAATTGTATTATTATTTTGCGTTTAACACGATATCTTACCGACGATTTATCCATAAACTAGTCAATTTAAAAATCGTCAAACTATAATCCATAGCTACAGTCAAACCGTCAACAAGATTCAAGAGCTCGCTGATTTTTATATGCTCGAATACGTACATGTATTGAAAACATTGCATAACTAGCATGCTTAACATAAAACTTAGCCAATAAATGATGGAATAGGATACATCCGGCCACATGCCAAAAAATTGAAGGCACATTTTCATTGCCGGACTGATGGAACTCGTAATTAACATTTGTTAATAATTTTTAAAATTATTTGAAGAAATAAAGATCAGTGGTGGCATACATTTGTATAGTATTCCGGTTTAAAAACGAACTGAAGGTATATATCATTTCCCCAAGTGCATCTCCACGGTGCGTCCCCACTCAAGTGAACATGGATCAATCGTTATTTTACGTCATATGGTGTAACGATAAGTCTAGACGAAACTCATTATTCGTATAGACATATAATTAACAACATTTTACAACGTATACTATAATTGTAAAATAGCAAAATTATTGTTCGGTTAAGATTATAAAAGAGAACTGACAATTATAAAAAACGTTCGCTGTCCGTTAACTTTTTTTGCAATTTTATTCCTTTGGCAATGAAAGGAAAGATAAAAAATTTCTCTCAAGAAGAAACAAATGTCTAGCTTCTTTTTTACGTACTTTTTTGCTTAAATAATTATAGTTATTTACGTGTTCTAAGCAAGCGCAATTAAATTGTGTCTGATTCAATTACGAGTTTTTAAAGAAACTAGTAATGAAAGCACATTACAGCTACTGATTAAGTAGCTACTGGTAAGTTAATATAATAGCAAGCAATTAGTTTATATAATTTACACGCCTCTCCTGCAAATAATTTAAAGTGATACTTACAGGAGACAAAAAAAATTTGACTGAAAAATTCTTATTTGCAACAAATATCGCATTAATACAAAGATATAGACAAGAGCTTGAAAAACTCAAAGATTTTAGGTTTTAATTATAATATTCTTCATAATATTCTTAGTGCAGCACAACATAAATTTTAATATTAGATGATTTAATCATAATAAACTATCGTAAAAACGTTTTGAATCTTTTTCAGCTTCAACAAATATAACAAATTATAATAAAATAAATTTAAACATTTAATAGTTTTATTAATTTATATTATTTTACTAGTTATTTTACATATGTTAATTAACAAAAAAAATTAATTATTCAGGATAAGTCAATTTAAGTTTCAATACATAGCATGCAATACCGAAACATATGACGCCGAAGCTTTCATGACCTAAAAGAAAATATTATTGTATAAACGGCAATATAAAAAACATTGACAAACTTCCAAATCAAAATATCATTAATGTAATATAGCTTTAATAATATTACAATTACAAATTACTTAATTAAATTAATGTCCAATGACGCTTAAATAATAAGTATATCGATTTTAGGTCAATAAATCTTTTTACATATACAAAAATAGCATTGATCACTCATCATCATTGAAAAATAATAAGAATCTTACAGTCGTGAAGCCTTCCAAAGTCAAATCCATAACTTTTCCAGCTGTAATCGTCAATCGTTTCTGAGATCTGACAATTATCAATAATAAAATTCGGCATTCGTTAGTGGACAAATCATACCAAAGTGTCTCGTACGCTGCATCACCGATGGATTTACTCTGAAAAAGAGAAAAAAAATTCGTTTAAAATATTGTATCGATATCAGATGAACGTGTGTGCAAGAAGCATTCAGCAACATAACAAATCTCGTGAAATAAAAAAGTTAATATATTTACGGGTATTATCCGTATCATTACATACCTTGTTAAATGCCAACGTTTCGTGAACATTGCATTGAAGTTCACTTCAAGGCCTGATACGAAACGTTGGCATTTAACAATATTTGACGACAAGAATAACAAATATCTGTAAAATATATTTTGAAAATATATTTTAAAACTTTTTTGAAAATAGTAACCGTGGAAGCCTTAAAGCAATCTCGTTAAATCGTGATTGAAAAATATATTTAAAAATAAAATATAAAATTGAAAAATATATTTTTATAACGTAAAAAAGGTACATCCCGGAACTGTTAAAAGCGAAAGAATCTTGCTAACCTTAGTACTGAGGTATTCGCCAGCAAAGCAGAAAACAAAAGCTTCTAACGTAACGGCGATATACGGAATGATAGACTGTATTAATATTCCGGATTTACCTTCCATATCCGTGCCTAGAGACTACGTAATGGTGTGTTAGATTATGTTAATCAGGAGTAAGTCGTAATATTATCTCGTGCACGTTCGTGCTTTTAATTATTGGACTGGTATTATACTCTCTACATGCAATGTTCAAGAACATAATCCCGGTATAAAGGAGATGGGCTAACGCATTATTCTGAGGAAAATGTTATTATTGTCTTAAGCAGTTTACCTGGCTTTTTTCTTAGGTAGGATTATTTTATATAACTTAAATATGGTAAAGTGTTTTCTTATTTTTTTCAGATGTTCCAGGCAGTTTCAAAGATGAATAAATGAAATAAGAATGTGAAATGTAATTTAACAAGAAGATTGATATTTCAATCGTAATTTCGAAACAAACTTTTTATCTTCGAGGAACGTTGCGTTATCAGTAAAGCATCTTTACTCACTATTACAATCATGATTCCTATGGAGCAAATAACTACGGTGTTCCATATAAATTGTATCAATGCAACAAATGAGAAAAAGTTGTCAATATTATTTGATAGAGATATGATTCTCTGATGCTTCTCGATGAGCGATCTTGAAAGATGAGATTTCTGCTTGGTGGAAATTTCTTTTAATCCTTGGCACATGATATCGATCTGGCCGCTTACGTGAAGTACCTTGAAATAAAAATTAAAGATCCAAAACACACGATAACTTAAAGTATGCTATTTAATTAAGTAACAAAGCTAGCTTCGATAAGCTTAATTTACTGAAATTATCATTTAACGATTTTCAGCGTTTTCATCTTTCAACTTACCAATGTCAGAATCAAGGAATTTAACAAAGCAATTACAGTTGCCGTTTCCCACACGTGGAGAAACAATCCCAAGACGATAAGTTCGAAGATCGGCGAGTTGGTAGCGTTAAACGGAAATTGTATCTGCACTGGAAACTCTCGGAGATCTCCATTTGCGGAGCGATGACTTACGTAATTACCGACGAAATAGAAAATAACGGACAGGCTGTTGAGAATTATCATTACGTTGGAGCACCGATGCGCCAGACTGGCCTTGCCCATCATCACACACGTGTCCAGATCTGTGGGGCAGTTGTTCCAGTCGTCGTTCATCGTGCCCAAAATATCCGAGAATATTCTGCAATCGATTTACAATTGTTCTGGATTAATGTCCAGGGATCACGACGGCCGACAGATTGCGGAACTTACCGACGATTGTGCCAGAGACTCAACAGTTTGAAAAACGTCAGGGTATAATCCAGAGTGATGCTCAGGCCGTCCATTAGCTTGGAGAAGTCATTTGTGCCGAGATGCGCAAAAAAGTACGAATATTGAAAATATTGCATGGCGATGAGACTGCCCATATAAAAGAGCCAGAAGAACGTTCCGTACGAAGAGCCAGGCCACATGCCGATCAGAGCGAGACCGATCTTCAGCGAGGGACTTATGGTGCTTGTCGACATTGCGATTCGCGAATTCACATCAAAACGTCAGCTGGTCTAATCATTCGCGTTCGTTTCGTTCATGTAAAATGGATCTCGATGATCGGAGAAGAACCGTATCATCGCAAGAGAAAAACACGAGAATGAGGTCTTTAAACTCTTGTACATTTCCCACTCCCTCGCGTGTAGCTAGCAATTTTGCAGAGAACAAAACTACTTTTTAAAAGAACTATAGAATAGCATGAGCGTCGATCAATTGCAATTACGTATCTTGCAATTGCACGACGACAGTCATACAATAATAATCAGAATTGCGATGACAAGTGATTATAGGTTTGTTTTTTGCAAAAAAGATACACGTGGAAAATATAATAATTCTCAAGTCCGCTAGACAAATTGAACGGTAATATAAAGCAATAGCAGATAATTTTTTTTAACGCAATTATGACTCTTTGATGTAGAAAAGTATAACTTCGAAACAAACAAAAAATTACGCATTGGACAGTTCTGAAAATTAAATTTAAAAGAAACAATCGATTGATAGAAATGACATATTACAGTTAATCGGTCGTATTATCAGGAATATTACTTTATTAAATATTAGTCCATTATTTACAGACAAAGATATTGTTTTATGCAGATCGAGCATTGCAAACGGGAGACCTAATTTTCAGTTCAAAGTTTATAAGCAAACTAAAATAATATAGAGTCTATATGTAACTTATTTAATATTACTCATATTATTTTTTTAAATTATAAATATATATTTGTTCTTTTTTTTAATTAAAAATTTTGTGTAATGTATGCTTGATAGAGACTGAAAATAAACATTTTATAAAATAAGCGTTTAAAAAACAGAACCTTTTTTGTTAATATTTATTGCAAAACTTTTTATATTAATTTTCTATTTGATAATTGGAGTATTTAAAAAATTTTACTTAATTTTTATATACAAATAGGATCAAACAATAGTTATTAAAATTAATAGAAAAAGTGCACAGTTATAATAATTATCATTCTCTATTAATTTTTTCTACAAATATACACCACTATTTCACTCGTAATAACCCGATGAAACGTGTATGACCAATATAGATTGGTTTGAATATATTTCAATATATCGCGTGTAAAACCGAAATGTATGAGGCTGAAGCTTTCATGATCTAAAAAGGTATCAGAAAATAATATTAATAGGAGTAATCTCTCAAATGATAAAAACGATATTTCAATCTGCTGACATATATATTATTAATAAACTTTAAGTATTTTAAATGTTATTTCATATTGCTGTTTGACATGTTTGACATATTTGAGTCATATATTATTAAGAAAAAAATAATATTAAGCAAAGATATTAAAAAATAATTTAAAGCAAAGAACTTACAGTAGTAAAACTTTCCAATGTTAAATCCATAACTTTTCCAGCTGTCGTCAATTGCTTTTGAGATCTGAGGATCACGAATAATAAAATTCGACATTCGCTAGTAGATAAATTGTACCAAACCATCTCATATACTGCATCACCGATAGATTTACTCTGAAAAAAAAAAGTTATATGTTACACTTAATATATATGCAACTAGCACACGACACAAAAAAGCAAATTCTCTATTAAGATAAACAGATTATATTATATATGCATAATTTTATTAATTAATACTAAATAATCCAAATTTTAAAACATTTTATATTGATTATATATCAAGAGAATCAATTAATATATAAAAAAAATAAAGGATTAATAAAAACAAAAACGGGATATTCTCACCTTAGTGCTCAGATATTCGCCAGCGAAACAAAAAATAAAAGCCTCCATAGTCACCGCAAGATATAGCATAATAAATTGTATCAATATTCCGGATTTACTCTCCATGTTCATATCTAAAGACTAATATGTTAAATAATATTTACAAATAATATGAGAAAACCAAAATAATATACTGAATAATATACGTCTTCCGGGATATTATTACTGAATATATAATATAAATTTGTTTTAAAATTGCGTTATAAATTAAATATTATTTTAAATAAACTGGCTTGTTTCTCTTATATTTATATTTCTGTATTTCTCTTTCTTTACGCTTATATTTCTTTTAAATGTTGAACATAAAAATTATTGAATATGATTAATATTTTTTTTATTACATATATTTACAAGATATATTATTTTTTCAGACAGTTCGAGAAACACGATTAGCAATCCATTACTGCAGTAGCTGAAGCTGTCTTACTCACTATCACAGCCATAAATTCTAAGGCGCAAATAATAAAAGTATTCCATATGAATTGCAACAAAGCGACAAATGAAAAGAAGTTTTCGATGTTTTTCGACAACGATATGATCTTCTGATGTCTTGCAACAAGCGACTTGGTAAATAGCAGGCTAGACTTCGACATGAAAGGAATATCTTTTAATTCTTGACACATGATCTCGATTTGTCCGCTTACGTGAAGTACCTCGAAACGAAAACTAAGGTATCAAATAAGTTTAATAAATCCAATAAAAATTTTAATTAATCCGCTAACAAATATTTTGAATGTTATTATATTAAGCTTACCTAATGTGTATCATTTAGCTAAATAATTCGCAATTATTTTCGTCTCTTAACTTATCAATGTTAAGATCAAAGCATTCAGCAACGCTATCACGATTGCCGTTTCTAACACATGGAAAAACACTCCCATGCCGACGAGCTCATAAATGAGTTTTATAAACTTCAGGTGAAAACTGTATCTGTACCGGAAACTCTTGAAACTGTCCGTATGGTAAGCACACGTCCACATACGTAGCTGTCAATAAAATATAGAAAAGTAGAAACAACATTGACGGATACCAGAACGTTAGAACAACGTTGCTTGTCAAATTAGCTTTGTCCATCATCACGTATTTACGAAAATCGGTCACGCAATCCTTCCAGTCATCTTCCATCGCAGCCAAAATATCTGCAAATATCTTACAAGCGTCCATCGATGTGTGCCTAATAGATCACTCAGAGATCGTTTGATCGTTCCGAATCCGAATCGAATTCGAAAGATTACTAATTGTGACCGAACGATCGCTGGTCTTACCGACGATTAATCCAAAAGCTAAGCAACTTCAGCATCGTTAAGGTATAATCCAGAACAAGGCCTAGACCATCCATTAGCTTGGTCAGGTTGTTAAAATCAAGATGCGCATAGACGTAGGAGTACTGAAAGTACTGCATTACGAAAAGGGTCGCCATGTAAAAAACCCAACGAAGCGTCCCGTGCGAAGCATCGGGCCATATGCCAATATATCAAACTGAGACCAATCTTCAGCAATGGACTTACAGTACTTATCGACATAATAGCACGTCATTGTAACGTCACATTGAACCATCACTCCGAGAAACCGTGCGCGTCACTTGTCCCCTTCTAACGAAATGAATAACGACTGCGACGAGAAGCGATACCGCGAAGAAAACACAGCAATCGAGTCTTTCTAATGCCATGGTATATACTCCCCTCCACTGCATCATAGGGGTGGTAGAGCAATTTTACAGGGTAAAACTGCCACCGTTTGTTGTGCGAGCAACGATCAATTGCAATTACTCATTTCGCAGTACAAATTACGCCACGAGGCAAATTAAATTGTAATGATAAATCAACAGCTGTGGGTTTCAGAACATGAAGAGATACACATGTACCTTTATACAAATAATCGGCTTTAAAAATTGCAAACGCAGATGGTCATAGCTTCTTCAACACTCTCTCTAAAAAAAATAATTTAAGAAAAAAAGTATATTGTTAAATTATATATTGTACATTTCCGAGTCTTAATATGGCAATAATTACACAAATAATGCACGATATTGCTATCACAAATGATAGAATATTGAATACTGATATCCACATCAATGGAGAGAAAAAGAGAAATTGCAGGTAAGAAAATTAAAATGTAGATTTAAAATGCATCGAATACGAGAAAACATGATAAACAGGTATATTAATAATATCTTTATACTGATAAGGTTCTATGTTATTACTAAAATATAGGTATTATATAAGTACTATATAATATTATATAAGTACTAATATAGATATTATAATACTACCTATTTTAATCACGTCTGTAACAAGTGTCTGTTGGCAAAACTTGCGACGATAATTTATCACCAACGCGAAGCATTTATTAAACTGTGGATAGATAATACTTCTTCCAATTTAATACATAGCGTGTAGTACAGACATGTACGAAACAGAAGCTTTCATGACCTAGAAATAATTTCAGTTAAAAGACGTGGAAAATTAAAAGATGCATCTACACCATCGTTATCTTACGCTCATAAATCCTTCTAAAGTGAGATCAACTATTTTCCCTGCAGTGATTGTCAGTCTCTTTTGCGATCGCAACATTATAAATAACAACGCACGAGAGTTGGACGGTACCAACTTGTACCAAAGCGATTCATATATCGCGTCACTAATCGATTTACTCTAAAAAGAGTAATTTAAGTTCAAAACACCTGAATAAGATGATTATTTAAATATCACTTATTATTTAATACTACAAATTTATCAGTAATTATTGATAATGTATAACGTAATAAATTTTATTACACGATATACATATCGTGTGTGACAATATATTTTTAAGAGATATTTATCTTTTAATAATATAATAATTAATATAATAATTACTTTTTGTAATTTAAATAAAAGAAATCTAAATTTAATAAAGAAAGAAATTTTTATAAATAAAAAAAGGTAATTGTACATTTTCTAGGCTTATAAAACATTTCTTTACTCACTTTGGAACTTAAAAATTCTCCTGCGTAACAGAATACGAAAACTTCTAATGTCTTGCAAGCGTAAAGCAGCGTAGACTTTATCAAAATCGCTGTGCCTTTCTTCATATTAAGAGCCTACGAAAAAGGATACGTTATCGATCAAAAGATCGTTCCAATATTTTACTTACAAGTATGATCATAAAACCGGAGCAACAGATGATTAAAGTATTCCATAGTAGTTGCATCAGCGCAATGGACGAAAATAAATCTTCAATATCATTTGCTAAAGTAATAATTTTTCGATGTCTACGAATAAGATCTTTAATGACGGATAAAGATCTGTCGAGATCGTTGCTATTGGATATTTCCATTACGACTTGTCGCATAATATCTATTTGTCCTCCTACGTGAATTATCTGTAAATGTAAAATATCGTTACTATCTAAATTAAAACGAAAGACATTCATCTATAGTTACAAAGTTTATTCGGATTCAGAATAATGTCGAAAGATTTTATAGAAATTTTTATCTCATGATAAATCGCATTGTACACTTACCAGCGCGGCGAACAACGCGTCTATCATACCGACTACAGAAGCTAGCGACAACTCATAAAGAAATTGTCCGACAAGGATGCATTCGAAAAGCGGCGTTTCCAAAACTTCGGGAGGAACGTCCATTTTAACTGGGAATTCACGGGGAATGGTGCCGGGTTCATCAGTGTGAATATTGTTCACCGTGCGAATCACGTAAGCACCGACCGAAAAGAAAAAACCAGCTAGAGCGTGAATGCCGATCAGCACGACAGAAGAACGACGCGATTGAGACGCGGCTATCACCATAGTGGATCCATAACCGCTGATAACGCACTCGTTCCAGTCTCTATCCATTGCTGCCAGAATATTGTAAAATATCCTGTAGAAAGTGCATTTTTTTATATTGAAAACTGAAGTATATGTTAATCAGGTTTAGCATTTAAAAGAAGATTCAAGTACTAAAAATGTCTAAGGCTAGATTGACCAACGTTATTTTAGCTTTAAGAGAAACTGAAATACGTATCTGTCTTTATCTTTCTTTCTAAATAAATAAAGACAGACACGTATTTAAATCTCGCTGAAAGCCAAAATGACGTTGGTGCAACCGAGCTGTAAAGCTGTTTATTTCACAAAAGTATGATATTATTTTCACTGATACATTAATTCCATGCTAACACGGCACACGATTTTGTTATAAGCCTCAAAATGTTCCTTCAAATATTATTTAACATTCGAAATTTCTTATATTCGTTCTTTCTTATATTTCTTATATATTATTTCTTATATACATATTTAAAATGTTTCACCAATATCATATAATAAAATTTATATCTCTCTCTCTCTTTTTCTTAGTATTTATAACAAATTTTTTTCAATGTCACTCTTTTTCAGGCAGATATTAAAACGGGAAATCTTACTTGCGATTCCACATTAAAACGAACAGCTTAAAAAAAGCGAGCGTGGTCGCTAAGGCAAGACCCAGACAATCCGTGAGGATTTGAAGATTACTTATGTCAAAATGTGCAATCACGTATGAATACTGAAAATACTGCAACACTGCTATCACTGTCATGTACGTGGACCAGTAGAGAGTCGGATAAGCCGAATCTGGCCACATACCGATGAAACGAAGGCCGATCTCAACTCCGCGATTGATAGTACTTGCGTGTTTCATCGCTCTTTGAAAACAGGTAAAAGTAAGCAGTCACGACACGCGTAAAAACCACACGTAGATGTTGTGTGATTTGCGTGATAACGTGAAAGTATATACTGAATATTGAATAATCATAGCGGAGACGGTAAAGCAACATCAACGATCAATTGTAATTACACCTCATCGCATTAATTCTTGGAAACTCCCGGTTATATTAAAAACGAAAACGTTGACAATATTGTTCGTTCCCTTTGCGAGAAATGAACAATTCAATTGCAGTAGCATGTAATTACTTTAAAATCGTTTAAAATCGAATTTCTAGCTCGGCTCAATGTTAGCTGCAGCTATATCCAATGAAGAAAAAAATTATGCATAACTTTTAATGAAAACATTAACATTTGCACAGCGTAGATGTAAGCCATCAGCTGTGGGTTTCTTGCGAAGAGATTATACGTGTACTTTTACGCAAATAATCGCTTTAAAAATGCAAACATAGATGGTCATAGTCGTTAATAAACCCCGCTAAAAAAAGTAAGTTCTTGAAATAAATTGAACATTTCCAAGCCATAAGATGGCATTAATACAAATAAAATGTGATATTCCATCAAAAGCGATAGGATACTTACTGACGTCAAGGGAGATAGAGATGTATTGCAGATAAGAGAAGATTAAAAATGTAAATTTGAAATGCATCGAATACAAAGAAACGTAATAAAGATGTATATTTGTATTTTTATATTGATGAAATTCTAATATTATTATTAAAATACACGTTTTTGTATAATTTATTTTAATATAACAAGTATCTGTTGGCGCAGTTTGCAACAATAATTTATCACCAACGCGGAACAGTTGAAACTGTGGATAGATAATACTTTTTCGTTTAATACATGGCATGTAGTACAGACATGTATGAGGCAGAAGCTTTCATGACCTAGAAATAATTTCAGTTAAAAGACGCGGAAAATTAAAAGATGCATCTACACCATCGTTATCTTACGCTCATAAATCCTTCTAAAGTGAGATCAACTATTTTCCCTGCAGTGATTGTCAGTCTCTTCTGCGATCTCATCATTATAAATAACAACACACGAGAGTTGGACGGTACCAACTTGTACCAAAGCGATTCATATATCGCGTCACTAATCGATTTACTCTAAAAAGAGTAATTTGAGTTCAAAATACCTGAATAAGATGATTATTTAAATATCACTTATTATTTAATACTACAAATTTATCAGTAATTATTATATAATGTATAGCGTAATAAATTTTATTACACGACGATATACATATCGTGTGTGACAATATATTTTTAAGAGATATTTATTTTTTAATAATATAATAATTAATATAATAATTACTTTTTGTGATTTAAATAAAAGAAATCTAAATTTAATAAAGAAAGAAATTTTTATAAATAAAAAAAAGTAATTGTACATTTTCTAGGCTTAAAACATTTCTTTACTCACTTTGGAACTTAAAAATTCTCCTGCGTAACAGAATACGAAAACTTCTAATGTCTTGCAAGCGTAAAGCAGCGTAGACTTTATCAAAATCGCTATGCCTTTTTTCATATTAAGAGCCTACGAAAAAGGATACGTTATCGATCAAAAGATCGTAACAATATTTTACTTACAAGTATGATCATAAAACCGGAGCAACAGATGATTAAAGTATTCCATAGTAGTTGCATCAGCGCAATGGACGAAAATAAGTCTTCAATATCATTTGCTAAAGTAATAATTTTTCGATGTCTACGAATAAGATCTTTGATGACGGATAAGGATCTGTCGAGATCGTTGCTATTGGATATTTCCATTACGGCTTGTCGCATAATATCTACTTGTCCTCCTACGTGAATTATCTGTAAATGTAAAATATCGTTACTACCTAAATTAAAACGAAAGACATTCATCTACAGTTACAATGTTTCGGATTCAGAATAATGTCGAGAGGCTTTATAGAAATTTTTATCTCATGATAAATCGCGTTGTACACTTACCAGCGCGGCGAGCAACGCGTTTATCATACCGACTACAGAAGCTAGCGACAACTCGTAAAGAAATTGTCCGACAAGGATGCATTCGAAAAGCGGCGTTTCCAGAACTTCGGGAGGAAAGTCCATTTTAACTGGGAATTCACGCGAAGCGTCGGTGTGAATATTGTTCACCGTGCGAATCACGTAAGCACCGACCGATAAGAAAAAACCAGCTAGAGCGTGAATTCCGATCAGCACGATAGAAGAACGACGCGATTGAGACGCGGCTGTCACCATGGTGGATCTGTAACCGCTGATAACGCACTCGTTCCGGTCTCTATCCATTGCTGTCAGAATATTATAGAATATCCTGTAGAAAGTGCATTTTTTTATATTGAAAACTGAAGTATATGTTAATCAGATTTAGCATTTAAAAGAAGATTCAAGTACTAAAAACTGTCTAAAGCCCGATTGACCAACGTTATTTTAGTTTTAAGAGAAACTTAAACACGTATCTGTCTTTATCTTTCTTTCTAAATAAATAAAGACAGACGCGTATTTAAATCTCGCTGAAAGCCAAAATGACGTTGGTGCAACCGAGCCTAAGTGTAAAGCTATATCTATTTCACAAAAATATGATATTATTTTCACTGATACATTAATTCCATGCTAACACGGTACATGATTTTGTTATAAGTCTCAAGATGTTCCTTCAAATATTATTTAACAAAATTTCGAAATTTCTTATATTCTTTCTTGTTCTTTCTTATATTTCTTATATATATGTTACTTCTTATATACATATTTAAAATGTTTCATCAATATCATATAATAAAATTTGTATCTCTCTCTCTCTCTCTCTCTTTTTCTTAGTATTTATAACAAATTCTTTCAATGTCACTCTTTTTTAGGCAGACATTAAAACGGGAAATCTTACTTGCGATTCCACATTAAAACGAGCAGCTTAAGAAAAGCGAGCGTGTTCGCTAAGGCAAGACCCAGACAATCCGTGAGGATTTGAAGATTACTTATGTCAAAATGTGCAACCACGTATGAATACTGAAAATACTGCAACACTGCTATCACTGTCATGTACGTGGACCAGTAGAGAGTCGGATAAGCCGAATCTGGCCACATACCGATGAAACGAAGGCCGATCTCAACTCCGCGATTGATAGTACTTGCGTGTTTCATCGCTCTTTGAAAACAGGTAAAAGTAAGCAGTCACGACACGCGTAAAAACCACACATAGATGTTGTGTGATTTGCGTGATAACGGTGAAAGTATATACTGAATAATCGTAGCGGAGACGGTAAAGCACAGCAACAACAACGATCAATTGTAATTACACCTCATCGCATTAATTCTTGGAAATGCGCGGGTATATTAGAAGCGAAAATAATGACAATATTATCCGTTCTCTTTGTTAAAAGTGAACAATTCAGTAGTTGTATAATAGCACGTAATTGCTTTAAAATTGTAAATTTCCAGCTCGGCTAAATATTAGTTTTAGCTATAGCCAGTAGAAAAAAATTATGCATAAGTTTTAAGCGAAACGTTAACGTTTGCGCAGTAGACGTAAGCCATAAGAGAAAAGCGAAAAATCTATTATCGTAAAATACCTGATATCTATCTAAGAACCGATTGATCTCGTATTTTGCCCCCTATGTGTTCGTTCATGTTTTTTCTCATTTCGTTTTCTTCCACGGCCAAAGACGTACACGCTTTCAGAGCGAATTCTCTTCAGAGCGATGGTGATAGAAGAACTAGACAAAAAAGACGAAATTGCTAGCATGTGATGTAAAAATGTAAGTAACTGTCAATAACGTAAATTGTATTTAGTTATAACATAATACGTTAACGTAAGAAAAAAAGAAAACTGGGGTTGAATAATTGAAACAATAGTCTATTCTTAGACAAAAATTTTCTAAAGATATTATATATTCAATAGTCACAGAAATAAATCTTACATATATTATCGTTGAGATACATGTCTGCCTGCTTTTTCTTTTTCAAATACGTAATATTTCTTAAAAAAATTTTTTATAACGTTTTAAATAAAGTATCATTTAGTATCAGTCAATTGTCATCAATAAAAAATATTTATTCAATAAACTTGTTATGAATAATTTCTATTGAAATAAATTTATACGGCTTATAAATTGTGCAATTCCATTTAGTTAACAATAATAATGGTTTGATAACTATAAATAAAATACTATTCTAATTAAGAAATTCTATCTAATTATTTTCTCGATTTTACGACATTGCATTTAATACTGATATATACGAGACAGAAGCCTTCATAATCTAAAAAGAGTTGCTCGTTATTAATTCAATGAGTACAGTATATTAAATAAAAAGATTATTTATATAATTTCTTACACTTGTAAATCCTTCTAAAGTCAGATCCATGACTCTTCCTGCCGTGATCGTTAATCGCTTTTGACATCTTAATATCATAAACAATATAATGCGACTGTCGCTTGACGACATATTATACCAAAGTGACGCGTATATTGCATCGCCAATCGATTTGCTCTAAAAACAGAAATCGTTTGAAACGACATGATAAAAAATCCTTCCTATTATAATATTAAAAAGGATTATATTTTTTAAAATATGATAATATAAAATATGAAATATAAAATATGATATAAATATGATAATTTTTAAATGTAAAATAAAAAGATCGAACAATATTTGACACAACGCAGATTAAAAGAAATATATAGATACTTCTCTAAGAATCTCGATTATATACCTTGGCACTCAAAAATTCTCCTGCAAAGCAATATATGAAAGCTTCCAGGACTATTGCGATATAGTAACTCACAGACTTAATCAAACTTGCTCTATCTCCGGCATCAATGGTCTGTCGTGGGATACGAAAAGAATGTTATTATCCAAAATGTGAAGAAAGAGAGACCGATATTACTTACAATTATGATCACAAAACCAGTGCAACACATAACCAACGTATTCCATAGAACTTGCATTAATGCAATGTGAGTATACAGATTCTCGATATTTTCTGATAAAGTAATAATCTTCTGATGTCTGCAAATAAGGCCTTTGATAATAACTAGAAATGTGCTGCGATCGTATTTGCCATTAGAAATTTCGTCTAAGTCTTGCCGCATAATGTCGATTTGGCCACTCACATGAAGTATCTATAAATACGAAATAATGTTATTTAAAGTAATAGATATTTTTTATTTTAATATTAATTTAGTTCAATAAAGCGATAATGGAATATTATAATCTTAACTTTTTAATCTCTTCGTAATCATTAATACTTACTAGCGCAACAAGTAATGCATTTATCAAACAGACCACAAAAGCTATCACCATATCATAAAAAAATTGTCCAATTAAAAAACACTCGAAAATCGGTGATTTGCTAACGTCGAAAGGGAATTCCATTTTTATGGGGAGTTCTCGAGAACTATTGCCAAATTGATTGATATCGTTCGTGGACTGGAGCAAGTGCTCGCCAATTGATAAAAAGAAAGAAGAAAAAGCGTAAATACTAAATACTGTGTTAGCAAAACGACGCGACAGATCTGCCATGCCCGTCATTGTAGACTTGTACGAATCATTAATAACACACTCACTCCAATCTTGATCTATTATCTTCACAATATAATAGAATATCCTGCAGGAAGAGTAACATAACATCGGGTAATGTACGTATTCATACATTTCTTCATGTAATAAGTCATGATAAATATTTATATATACGATTTCATTTAACGAACAATAGCGAATATTAACGAATATTGTCGAGAAAAGGATTCTCGATATTATAATAATGGACAATAATAAAGTTAATGAGAATCAGCTATAAACAATGCGCAAATTATATATTTAATCTTAACTACATTTATTAATAAAAAGTGCCAAACGTCTCGACTCGAATTTGAGTCATCTTCAGCGTGAAAGTGTGATAAGGATATATATCTCTGAGTCTATTCGATAAGCCCAGCTATAAAAAATAATGAGAATAAGTCACTCAAGTCAGTTCGCTAAATGAAATTATTATATACTAAATTAATTAATTATTTTAAAAAATTATTTTATTTTATAATAATAAAAGCTTATTAAATTATTTAATTATGTTATTAATAAATTTTTATTATTATCAAACGTAATATAGATACCTAAAAAGATTTATAAAACATAATTTATTAATTAATAAACTTTTAATTTTAATTTTATGTGAGGTGGTACGTTTAAATCGTAATTTCATATAAAATAAAAAAGAAAAAATAGTTATAAAATAATTCTCATTTTTTGAAATAGACATGGGTTACAATAAAAAGAAAAACACGCAAGAGAGTAGTATAAACCCCGTTACAGCACATCGCAATGAGCGTCTGCTCTTCTAGTTCTAGTTCATTGAAATAATTCAATTCTAGTCGAAACGTTTGGCATTTTTTATTAATAAACGTAGTTAAAATTAAGCATATAATTTGCGCACCGTTACCGAACTCATTAGCCTTACTGCTGTCTATTAATAACGAATATATCTTAACACACACATTTACAAAAATTATAAAATGTTTACATAATTAAATTGACATTGGATACAAATATATTCTACAGAGTCATTCTCACAAAAGGATACGTCTTACCGACGATTCCGCCACAGAACGAGAAGTTTGAGAAAAGCAAGGCTGTAAGCCAAGGTAAGACTAAGAGAATCCATGAGAAGCCCGAGATCGTCCAATTCAAAGTGTATGAATACATATGCATATTGATAATATTGCACTATCGCTACCGATGTCATGTAGCTAAACCAATAGAGATTCGGATAAGCCGAGTCCGGCCACATGCCAATAAAACGAAGCCCGATTTCGATCGAGCGGCTGATGGTACTCGCACGCGTCATCACTCTTTACTAACTGCCGAATGTTAAAAATCAATAACGGACGTCAATCCGTGAAAGACACACGTTTCGTGCATGCTCAATACGCTTCACGTGATAGTTAAAACACTAAATGATCGTGGCGGAAAAACCGTCAAGTGCAAAACCACTCTAAACGTAAATCAATCGTAATTATATCTTGAACGTTTGCAACGCAAGATAATACTAGCTTATAGCAGTATCAATTAGAAAAGAAGGTACGATTATTTCTACTTTTTCTCTGAATCAGTAAACAATATAATACTGCACAATGACAAATAATCGCTTTGAAACAGCGTTTCTAATTTGAGGAGCAGTTTCGCGTTTATCTATATCCGTTTGAAAAAAAATTGTGCACAAAGTTTGAAAGAAACGTCAATGTCTATGAAACACAAATTAAGGTAGAAAAAAAATGAAGAACATTTATTATAGTTGAATATTAAGTACATTCATAGTGCAATAATACCGCAAATTTTTTTTGTTCTTCGCTCACGTGTCTCATGTTACTTCGCTTCTGTTTTAAACAAAGACGAGAACTTCCATAGTTCCTGTAATAAAATAATGGATTTTCCCAACATATTCTTCTGCCACCAGATCATAACATAATGATGGAGTTTGTTGTTTTTTAAATAGATATCGAATAATCCCGCTGCAGATAAAAGAAATTAATACAAAAATCTTTCAACAAATCAGTTTACAAGGCAATGGGAAAGATCGCGTGCATTTCCGATTTGTTAAAGAATTAAAAATATAATATAAAACAATTATCTTTAAAAATATAACAAAAGAACATATTATACTATATATGTAGATCTCAAAAATATATATAAGGTTAACTTTAAAAATATATATATAAAGTAAAATATATATAAAGTTTAACTTTTCATTTTAAAAAATTAAATTGAAGAAGATAGTTAGAAAAGTAATACAATACACTATTTATTATCCAAATAATATCAAAATAATAATTATATATTTACTTATGTAAAGAAAGAAAGATATGTTAACAGAGGATTCGATAAATATAATAACTGGAGCAAGATTTGTACTCATACATTCTAAGCGTGAACAAATTTTTCATGTTATTATTATGAAAAGTATGTTTATAAACTTGCTCCTTTAGAGCAATCATCTAGCAATATTTTTATTTATAATATGTCAAAATACGTTAAAAAATGGAAGTGTAAGACAAAAAACATTACACTTTACGAAAGAATTCAAACTGGTTTAGTTATAACAAAAAATAATTATTTACTGAATTTATGAGGAATAATTTACTCAAATAATATTATGTTTTTTTTTATAATTTGAGTAATTTTATTTGGCCAAGAATAATTGTCTGACAAATTATTGTAGATAGGGCAACAATTAATATTGTAGCAACTGACAAATGTCATTCTGAATTTAGTACATTGCATTTAATACCGATACGTAAGAAGCCGATGCCTTCATAATCTAAAAAGTGGGCATAAAATTGTTTGAATTTTGTCTAAAAAAATATAGTGTATATTATAATGTAATGCCTTACGCTTGTAAATCCTTCTAAAGTTAAATCAATGACTTTTCCCGCAGTAATCGTTAAACGTTTTTGCGATCTTAATATCACAAACAATAAAATGCGGCTATTAGTCGGTGGCATATCATACCAAAGTGATTCGTATATTGCATCGCTAATCGATTTGCTCTAAAAGCAGAGCAAGTTTAATTTAAAATATAATAGCGGCAAAACACTTGAAAACATTTTTTATCGTTCAAAATGTCCATCTTTTAAATTTTAATTATTTTTTTTAATAAAAATCAATTTTTTGCTAAATAATAATCACAATTGTTGATATGTAAATATTTTCACGAACCTTGGCACTCAAAAATTCACCGGCAAAACAGAGTATAAAAACTTCTAGAGTGATTGCAATGTAAAAACTCACAGACTTGATTGAAGTTGTTGCACTTTCATCAGTGCCAATAGTCTGGAATAGAACAACGAAGAAATATTCTTCAATGAAAACGCGGAACAAAAGCCACAGCTATTACTCACGATTACAATCACAAAACCAGTACAGCAGATGACCAGAGTATTCCATAGAAGTTGCATTAATGCGATATAAGTATATAAGTTTTCAATATTTTCTGATAAACTAATAATCTTCTGATGTTTGCAAATGAGCCCTTTAATAATAATTAAGGATGCGCTGGAATTGTATTTTCTATTAGAAATTTCATTTATGTCTTGTCGCATAATATCGATTTGACCGCTTACATGAAGTATCTATAAATACA